TTAAACATTTATATTTATTCATTTATTCATTTTTAAACTTTTATTTTATGTGTATGGATGTTATGCCTACATGTAAATCTGTGTACCACATGAGTGTCTGGTGCCCAGTGAGGTCAGAAGAGGGTGTCCGCTCCCTGGAACTGGAGTTATAGATGATCGTAAGCCACCACTGTGGGTGCTGGAAATTGAACCCAGGTCCTTTGGAAGAGCAGCAGGTGCTCTTAACTGCTGAGCCCTCACTCCAGCTCCTGGGAAGAAGTGTCTTTATGCCACTTTAACCTGATTTCTCTAACTATAGGTAAGTTATGATTGTCTGGGGATCATTTTTACGTTACTTTTTTGAGAACTGTTTCTTCTTTCCTCCATCTTCTCATTTCCACTTGGGGCCTTTATCACCCACCCACCCTTTAGAAGCTCTTTATATTAGAAACATTAATCTATGGGCTGGGCGGGGGTGGCACTCGCCCTTAATCCCAGCACTCGGGAGGTTGAGGCAGGCGATCGCTGAGTTTGAGTATAGCCTGGTCTACAGATCAGGTTTCAGGATAGCCATGGCTATACAAAAAAAAAAAAAAAAGAAAGAAAGAAAAGAAAAGAAAAAAGAAAAAAAAGAAAAAAGAAATATACTAGCCTTTTGCCTAAAGTATAGGTAAAAATATTTTCTTCAAGTTTATCACTTGACTTTTGACTTTGTGGCATTTGGGGTCATAAAAAGCTTTATTTCTCTGTAGGCAAATTTAACAGTTTTGTCTTTTGTCACAATTTTTTGCGCAATTCTAAGAAAACCTTTTCCTATATCAATATTAAAGAATTCAAACATGACTCCTTTGGCAAATATAGTTTTATTTTTACATGTGGATTACTAATTGTTAGGCATTTATCTTTCTGTTTGTTGTATGACATGTCTAATGTTACCTTTTTCTAAATGGCTACCAGTCGCCTTGGCATGATTTGGTACAAGAGTTGGGGATGCAGCTTAATGGACAAGCACTCACCTATGTGGTACAGAGCCTGGGATTCGAGCCAGCATCACAAGAAAGGCATTCAGACTTTCACCGCGTACTAAACTGCTCTATGTATGCATCCTGACATGGATCCTCCTGTTTCGTTCCACTGGTGTATTTACCTATTTATATATCACATGCCACTGTTTAAATCAAAGAGGCTTCAGAGCAGGTTAAGTTGTCTGGTAATGCTGGCTCCCCACAAACAGTTTTCCTTTTAGAGTGTTCTCCCACAATTTTTGCAACTTTGTTTTTCCACACAAACTCCAGTGTCAAGTTTTATGCTTGTATCAAATTTTATCTGCCATAACAAAGCTTGTTGTCTTGAGATTTTTGCTGTTGTTTTTTTACTTATTTGAATTAGATTAAATTTACATATTAACTTAATGAGATTAACACTGTAATGTGGAATCACACACAAGAATGGGGTCGTCTTTCCATTTACTCGTGTTCTTATTTCTTTGTAAAATATGTAAATTTTTCCTTCCACAGCTTCTGAGAGAGAGACAGAGACCAAAACAGAGACAGAGAGAGGGCGTGCACCCACACATGTTGGTATGTATGCAGTACATAAACATGTATGTGTGTGCATTTAGAGGCCAGGGATCGACACCAGTCTTGTATTGCTCTCCACATTAGGTTTTTGGGGGTTTTTCTGAGACAAAGATTTCTCTGTAAGGCCCTAGTTGTCCTAAAACTTACTCTATAGACCAGGCTGGCCTCAAACTCACAGAGATCCGTCTGTCTCTGCCTCCCAAGTGCTGGGATTAAAGGTGTGCGCTTTAAATGTGGAACCACGTAAGGCTTCCACATTCGTTTTTGAGACAAGGTTTCTCAGTGAACCTGGAGCTCAGTGACCAGCAAGACTGGCTTGTCAGAAAGCCCCGGTGACTCTTCTTGTCTCCATCTCCCCAGTCTGGGGATTACAGAAATATGCCATGAAACCCAGCTCTTTTTATTTTTTGACATGTATTTAAGTATGTGTATACAGGGAGGAGGAGAATGCGCACCTGAGTACAGGGACCTGCGAGGCCAGAGGCAAGAGATCCACTGGAGCTGGAGCTACAGGTGGTTGTAAGCAGCCTGACAGAGGTGCTGGGAACCAGACTCAGGGCTGCCCCAAGAGCAGTGCACTCTTAACCAATGAGCCATCTCTTACTCTCTACACCAGACTCTTCATGTGGCTGCTGCATATAAACTCGGGTCTTTCTGCTTGTCAATAATTTTTCCTTCTATGTTGTTGTTATTTGATTGTGTGTAAGATGAAGTCTGTTAATTTTAGTTTGGGTTTTATTTTTGTTCTGTTGGTTGGCTTTTTGTTTGTTTAGATATTGTCTTATATAGTATAAGTGGGTCTCAAACTTACTACACAGCTGAAAATGATCTTGAAGTCCTGACTCTCTTCCTCTCACTCACAAGTGCTAGGATTACGCACCATGCCTGGTCCTTGGTTGATCCTGCTACAACATAAATTCTTTTATTATTTGAATTAAATTTATCTTTCATTCCAGCTATATCAGAGCATGTGTAAATAGACTGGTTTTTTTAAATTAGTTTTATATTCTGCTGCCACATGGAACTCTTTTACTATTTGAATTAGTCTTATCTTTTCTTCCCTGGGAAATTTCCAGGCATGTTGCATCAGAGTGTGTATGAAGAGACTTTACTGCACTGGATAGAAACTCTAGTGTAAGATGAATACTTTCAGCCAAACGGTGGTGGCGGTGCACACCTTTAAAACTACAGAGAAACCCAGTCTCGGAAAAAAAAAAAAAAGATTAATACTTTCACATATGGACATCTTTATCTCCTCCTAATCCTGTAAAAGTGCTGTGAAAACCTTTTTTCTTCTTCTTTTAATTAGACATTAGCAGGCTAGGAATATAGCTGTGCTGACAGATGCTTCTCCGAAGTTCCCAGGCCCCTGGTTCAATCCCCAGAACCATTTAAAACCTTGTATGGCACATGGTGACATAGGTGGAAGAGGCAGACAAAAGGACCAGAGGTTCAATATTTCGTATCTAATAGCTGGTGCATCTAAATTTTATATCTCTAATGTAGTCAAGTTTAACTACTGTCTTTCCCTAAAACTTTATATAGCCAGAATCCCCAAAAGCCTTTTTTTTGATTGTTTCAAATTGATAATTTCTGCCTTAACATTTAATTTGAAATTAGCAACTGACATATCTACTTTAAAACAGTGGACTCTGATTTATTATATTATAGTTTTCTGTGGTGCCAGAGATCAAATCCAGGGTGAGGGACATGCTGGGTCAGTGCTCTACCACAGTGCTGCATCCCCACCTTGATTTTCTTTATTTACCAAGACCAATTTCTTTTTGATTAACACATAAATTATACATGTTAATGAGATGCCATGTAATGCTTTAATGTATGAACACATCATAAAATGTTCAAATCCAGTTAATCAAACCTATCTCTACATACATTTCTTGTTTCTTTATGGCAAAAACATTTTAAGTACTTAATTCTAGCTTTGCTCCAGTGTGCACTGCTTTCTGTAGTCACCCCACTGTGCAAAAGAACAACACATATAATTTTTCTTATAGATATTCTAATATGCCAATAAAGTTGCAATATGTTCCTAATAAGTGGCTCTTTTTATTTTATTTATTTTGCAGTGTTGGGGATCAACCCAGAGTCTCTGATTTTATTTACTTTTTTGATAAGCATCATTGTCTAGGCTAGCCTCAACTTTATAATATTTTACATCAGCTTCCCAAATATGATTTCAAGTATGAGATATCCCACATGACTTATTTATTTATTCATTTATTTATGTATTTTGAGATGCTAGAAATCAAACACAAAGTGTTACATAGAGTAGACAAGATCTTTACCAGTGTGCTATACCCTGGTCCATGGAAGGACTATAAAATAATATAGCCACTATGGAAAATAGTTTGGTAATTTCTCATAAAACTATGGTATGCTTTAGGAATACAATCCAGCAATTACACCCTAGAAACTGAGTCACAGAAATGAACATTTATGTTCACACAAAAATTCTTAAAACCCTCATGGGAAATAACTCAAACATTCTTCAACAAGTGACTAAGCAAACAGCAGTGTATGAACGTAGCAGAACCCCACTCAGCACTAAGAGGGAGTAACTACTGATGCATGCGAAGGTCTCCAGGAAGGAAGCCAGTTTTTCTAAGCAATGACAGACTATGAGTCCCAGAGGATTTTTAATTATCTCAAAGACTCAGAGGGTCAGATATTATACAGGTAAGCTTCAAAAGTCTGTAGAACGACTGAGAAAAATGTTTTCTTTTTTTTCTTTTGTCTATATACATTTTTCTGTAGACAATATCTCACAGATAACTCATTAAATGCTAAAAACCACCACTTTGTAGACTCCCTAAAATGGAAATGAAACACTAGCTCCAATACTTTATGTGGTCAATAATATACAAGTTCATCTTTTTTTCTCTTTCTCTCTTCTAGGCACACAGCTGCCACCTGAGGCTGGGGCCCCTTCTTACCCCTACCATAATCATCTTCTTAAAGGCTAAGGGTAGAGCACAGGTTTAGCATCCATGTTCAATCTTAGTAATGCAAAAAATAAAAATTAGCTCCAATTTCATCTTACAAATAAAAATGTTTAGAAAACATAAAAGCCAGTTTTACTCGAATCTTTCCTAAAATATTTGTTTGCAGACTTCCAGTGGATTTATAATGAGGTAACATTCCAATGACCCCACCATATATCAAAGATATATCCAAAATGTATTAGATATACTTAGTCTACCATCTGTCCCCACATAGCAACACAGCACAATGTGAAGTCTCAGCAGTTCACCTTACAATCAGATGGCTGACTGTGACCCTTGGCTTTCTGCCTCTGGTAGCATCACTAGTCCAGAAAAGATCAAACCCAAAGTATGTTCATACCAGTTTTGTACCATCCTAAAGTCAAAAATTCATGAATTAAAAGCATACTAAATTCAGGATATTCAAAATATGTCTTACATTTTTCAGGTCGGACATGTGAATAACTTCCAAGATTTACTAACTGGCTGGTAAATGTTGATTGGAGTACTGTCTCACCAACCCATTGATCCTCATAAACAGTGACATCTAAAAATAAAACACAACAAAATCCCGTCACATCATGAACTCCTTTAGACTGTAGTTCACTTATCAAGCACACAGTAGTAACTAGTCATATTAAAACATTATGTACACATCTTACACACCAGGCAACTAGAGTTCTTACGGCAGAAAATGATAAAACAGCAAACTTAAACTCTGAACCTAGACCCTTGCCTATAAGGCATGAACAAGTCAGGAGTCACCTGGTCCAAGACAGAGGAGGAAAACGAATTCACACTGCCCTCAGCTGAGCTCAACTTTCCCATCCCACTCCCCAAACTTTCTCCCAGTGCGCAGCAGTAGGAATGATTTCACAACAAAATGTCAGACTCCCAGCATCAGTGACACACTGAAGCATGTCCCCTTTTCTACCCAAAGGAAATCAAGTCCCAACACCACTAAACCATGGACATGAAGAACTTATTGGGTGGAACCACAACACATGAACAGTCAAGCCTAGATAATATAGAATATATACACACTACTGAGAATTTGTGCCAGCAAGCTATACACATGGCAAGCAAAGAAAATGCTACACTCTTCTATTGGACTGTCATCAAAAACAGAATTGGTTTATTCAGGTTCAAAAGGTGCCACTGTGGATAAAGTTGGAGGAGACCTGAATTCAACACCATTGCACTGGACCACAAGACCAGGCCATCTGTCCTTTAGCCATATGGTGACAAGTCCCACAAAAGCACTGCCCTGCACTGAGAAGTATCCAACATCACAGTCATTAGTCTTCTGGAAGCCGGGCTAACACCAATGCCCAGAATATCAAGAGGAGAGAAGTATTTCATTTGGTAAAGAAGGAAAAGCATGAGAATGACAAACGGCAGGGCAAGCAAAAGGATACAACTATTTTTCCTTAGAAAGCTCAAAGTTAATACGGAATTTTGTCAGAAAATAATGCTACGAACTCCTTTCCTCGTTATTTGGCTGGTTGGGCTTACAGCTGGACTAAATATTGACTCTTGTCTCATTAAAGAGCTACTGTATGGTGGGTTTGACCCACATCTTTTTTCAGTTCTTTTTTTATCTTTCAATACATTATCTATTCTGTGTCTAAAACCCATCTGTGATGTAACTGGCTTTAATCAACACCTGTGTCTGTTCCTTCAGTAAGAGTTTAATGGATACATCATTACTGGAGTGATGTGGCAGAAACACTGTCCTTTCATAAAAATACTGCTAATAAAGCAAAGGAGTTAATAAGACACATAAACACAACCATAAAACGGCAAAAAGAAGCCTGGTGGTGGTGGTACATGCTTCTAAGCCCAGTGCTCTAAAGGCAGAGGCAGGTCAGATTACTGAGTTTGAGGTCAATCTGGTTCAGGACAGCCAGGGTTACAGAGAAATCCTGTCTCGAAACAAACAAAGAAATAAAATAGCAAAAAGAAGCCCCATGATAGAATTTCAACTATCACATGATGGATGGTTATGAGAAACAACCAGGGAAGGCTTCTTAGAGGAGAAAGTGAAGGGGAAGGCAGCACAGACCAAAGAAGGGAACTACAGCCCCAGAAAGCAGTAAGGAGAGCAACACACTACAAAGGGTCAGTCACACCCAGTATAGGCAGATGGCAAGGAAAGAACCCTGAGAGACAAGAAACAAAAACCACAGCTTTACAAAGCAAGCTGCCACTATACTTAATGGCCTTACCTGTAAGTAAAATTATGTCCCCAGGAAACACTGTAAGTGCCCAAAATGCTGCAGTCCTCCACAGAACAACTCTCCTCTTCATTTCTGATTGATCGATTACTACAATTGTTGCTAATGGCACCTTAGAGCCAGAATGTGGTCCAGATTTTACGTTTATTTCCTTCACATGACATGGGGTTAGCACCATGACTAAGCAATTATACTTCTGACTTTTAGAGTCACAATTTTTTATTAATGATATTTTTTTAATGGCCTTAAATTCAGACATGCTCCTCCAGGGCACTGTTTTGGCTGACTCTCTTGTATTAGAATCCATCTTTGGCTTCTTGGACACTTGATGGACTTCTGAAAGAGCTTTGGAATGGTGGGAAATAACTTTAGAAAGGTGGGAAATATCTTTAGAGGACCGGCTTCTTGTTGCAGCACTTTGGCAGAAGGCACTTAGTTGAGAGCACAGCATCCCTGAGCTACACAACTCAAGGCATACCTCCTTTGCTGGCAGGTTTTCTTCATTACTACAAAGATTTTGTGAGCTTCTATTATCTTCAAGACTTTTTCCAGGGTTTCTGTGAACGTGACTGCTTTCTGATTCGGGACAAACAGGACTAAAAAGTTCCAGGGAATATGCCTGGCTTTGCTCACTTTCAGATCCTTCTTCAGAATCTTCTCTGGGCTTAACAAGATTATCTTCAGCTCGCCTTCCTTCTGGACATCCTGTAGGTTCCATCTCCATGTTTACTGTCCCTTTATTTAGACAGTCTTGCCCTGCATTATTCCTATGAGCTAGAAAAGCACGCTGGCTGGAGGACATTATACTGAGAAACTCAGTGTCGGTAGATATTTTCTGGTCTGAGGCCTTCCCAGCTGCCCCCTCAGACTCTGAATCACACTTCATGTCAGAGGAAAATACCTCCTGACCCTGCCCTTCATGTTCAGTTGGCACAGGCTTTGTTCTCACAGCGCCCAGTCCTGTGTCAATCTGTTCAGTACAATCCAAATCCAATCCAGCTGTGCACTTATGATCTAAAGCAAACACATCTGCTTGAAAGTCCTCAGCACAGGGATCTGACTGGTTTCTGGACTGCTCATCTATAATCTTCTTAGCATCACACTGAAGCTTTTGATACTTTTCTTCTTCAGGTAAATGCTGACCTCTGTCCTTAAACTCACATATCTGCACATCAGGCATATCACTCCGGCCTGAGGGGTGAGCCTTCTGCGACTTCATACTCTGAGTTTCAGAAGCAGAACAGATGAAGCCATCTTCCATCTGCACAGACCTAGTCACATGAGTGGTTAAAAGGTGACCACTAAGAACATCTGGAAGAGCTGCAGTTTCTGGGATTTGGTAGTCTTTCAGATTTTCAAGCTCCTGGTTTTCAGCCTTCAGATGTAAAGACTGCTGTTTATACAAAAGCTGGATTTGTTCCCAGGCATTGGCAGTGGAAGTTGTTCCTTGTGTTATTGTCATTTTCAGTGGAGCAACTGGAGCACCCCAAAAAATGTGAACTTGAGATCGACTCATAGTTTCTGATAAAAATAAAAATTTCAAAATTAATTTCTTAGTAGTCTTCTACCTAATATGATGAAAACAAACTATTAATTCAAAAACATGCCATTTAGTTTGGTATGCTAATATAATTATAAAATCAATAAATAAGAAATTATAGAAAAATCAGAAAGTTGGTGGTGGCACACAGCTTTAATCTCAGCACTTGGGAAGCAGAGGGAGGCAGATCTCTGTGAGTTCAAGGCCAGCCTTGTCTACAGAGCAACTTCTAAGACAGCCGAGGGGTTACACAAAGCAACTCTATCTTTAAAACAAGAAAATAAAATCAAAAGAAAGTCTTCTGTTGTGGGATAATGCTCTTGTACACTGTAAAGATTTGTCACTCATATTAGTTTAATAAAATGCTGATTAGCCAGTAGCTAGGCAGGAAGTATAAGCAGGACAATCAGACTAGGAGAATTCTGGGAAGAGGAAAGGCAGAGATGCAGTCACCACCTGGATGCAGAGGAAACAAGATGAGATGTCTTATTGAGAGATACTAAGCCACGTGGCTAAACATGGACAAGAATTATAGGTTAATTTCAGTTGTAAGCATTAGTTAATAATAAGCCTGAGCTAATAGGCCAAATACTTTATAATTAACATAAGCCCCTGTGTTTCTTTGGGACTGAATGTCAGTGGGATCAGGCAGGACAGAAACTTCCATTTACAGTGTTCAGTTAAAGACTGAGAGAAAGGCCAATAAGCTGGCTCAGTGTAAGGCACTTACTATGCAAGCCTGACAACCTGAGTTCAATCTCGGAAACCATGCTGGAAAGGGAGAAGTGACTCCCAAAGTTGTCCTCTGACCTCTACCATGGCACACCTAGACTTACATTCACACATACATACCACACACTCACTCACACACACAAGTAATAATAATAACTAATAAATCTAATATTAAAATTTAAGTGTAAGATAGAGATACAAAGCTAAGCATCAAACAAGTACATTTTTAGAATCTGCATTTCTTGTGTTGTCAAATCCTGTTACAATTAAATAACAACTTAGCTTTAAAGGGCAGTTATTTATTAATTGTATCATATTATCCTTAAATATCTGTCTTCTTAACTCAATAAACTCTCTCAGTTAAGTTTTGAGCCTCCTCTGAACTCATTCTCATAATCAACAGAAGGCACAAACTGAAAGGCAAAAAACAAGTTAGTTTGTTGTTTTATTTTTGTTCATTTGTTTGTTTTCCGAGATAGGGTTTCTGTGTAGCCTTGGCTGTCCTGGAACTCAGTCTGTAGACCAGGCTGGCCTCAAACTCACAGAGATCTGCCTGCTTCTGCCTCCCGAGTACCAGGATCAAAAGCATGTGCCATCATGCGTCATGTAGTCTAGGCTGGTCCTGAACTCGTTATACATCCAAGGACGTCCTTGAATTCTAACCTTCTGGGTTTAAGAGTGTGCATCACTATGCCCAGCTTCATCTTTTCTATAATACAAACAAATTCAAATTGATGGTAATAACTATGTAATACATAAAAAGAAACTCATCATCATTTAAAACCTTTTTTCACTATCCGGACGGTTGTGGCGCACGCCTTTAATCCCAGCACTTGGGAGGCAGAGGCAGGAGGATCTCTGTAAATTCAAGGCAAGTATGGTCTACAAAGCAAGTTCCAGGACAACCAGGACTGTTACATAGAGAAACTCTATCTCGAAAAACTAAAAACAACAACCAAAAAAGCAAACAAACAAAAGACAACCACTTTTTTTCTACAAACTATGGTACTTGATGTAAGGAAATCTGAGCAAACACCCTATTGATTGGTCAAGAAACACTTCAATTTATCACTTGCTCATAACTGACTTTAATTAAACAGATATATTCCTATTACTCACTTAAAAGCATTGATTAGTGCAACCATATGGAGGCAAAGGCAGAGAAGGTTTTAGGAATGAGGTACTTTTGACGTCATGTACTCTTGTACTCTGACTACAAACTAGGGGTGGGGTGGAGATGATTACCTAAACAGTGGTCTTGTTTGAAATTCACTGCCATTAATCCCCAAGTGGGTCCTAGCAATCCTGTTCCTGCCTGTACAACCCCTTTTCAAATAACTTTTATATCTCTTACCCAGTCCTCACATACAGCAGGTGATCATATTACTGATTTCTCTCACATTTACCAATATAATTCCATGGAGTCTATATTCTCTCCTAGTTTCCTGATATTATTGCTGAGCTCTCATAAATACACACACACAGGGGTGTGTGTGTGTGTGTGTGTGTGTGTGTGTGTGTGTGTGTGTAGAAGCACATGAAGAGGCCAGAAAAGACATTGAGTATTCTCTACTAACCCCTTTACTCTTTAGGTTTTTTTTTTTTTTTGAGACAGAGTTTCTCACTGAATCTAAGAGAGCCAAGTCAATATAAATGCATCTTCTGAGCACATAAATTTTAATGGAAAAAATAGCATTTAGAATATATAACTTAGCTGGGCAGTGGTGGCACATGCTTTTAATCCCAGCACTTGGGAGGAAGAGGCAGGTGGATCTCTGAGTCTGAGGTCAACCTGGTCTATAGAGTAAGTTCCGGGACAGTCCGGGCTATATAAAGAAACCCTGTCTAGAAAAAGAAAAAGGAAAAAAAAAAACAAGAAAGAAAGGAAGGGAAGGGAAAGGAGAAGGGAGGGGAATTGGGGAAGGATGGGGAAGGAGGAAGGAAGAGAAAAGGAAAGAAGGAGGAGAAGAAGCAGAAGGAGGAAGAGGAAGGAGGAAAGATATATAACTTAGCCAGGCATAGTAGCACAAACCAAATTTTTAATCCCAGCACCAGGGAGGCAGAGCCTGTGAGTTCAAGGCCAGCCTGGTCTACAAAGACAGTTTCAGGACAACCAGGACTGTTGTACAGAGGAAACCCTGTCTCAAAAAACCTTTAAAAAATATTTTTTAAAAAAAGAATCAAGAAGGCTTGGGTGTGTGTGTGTGTGTGTGTGTGTTTGTGTGTGAGTGTGTCTGTGTATTACACATTTGTATCCAAATACTTTGGAGACAAAAGCATCAGGGCCCTCCTAAGTTTAAGGACAGCCTGGGGCTACAAAGTTAGACTCTCTCTCAAAAAGATCATGAGGGACTAAGATTATAAATGATTGTTTTAAATACTTCGGTGTTTAATTTTTTATGATATATGACTAATATGTACTATTTTCATAATGCCAGTTCTTTTTTATTTGGTCATTCAGGCATTCTTTCACAGCCTTCAGACAGAATACAATGTTCCAAGAATAGAGAACAACAGTCCTATTGCTAATACTTAATACGAAAGTTGAGAACAATGGCAGCAGCCATTGAAGTTTATCAGTTAAGGGTCTGGAAAGATGGTGCAGTGGTTAAGAGTGCATATTACTTTTTCAGGGGACCCAAGTTTAGTTCCCAGCATCCACATCAGGTGGCTCACCACAAGCTAACTCTACTTCCAGAGTTACTTCTGGTGTATACACACACACACACACACACACACACACACACACAATGAATCTTTTTTTTAAACAAATGTGTTTAAGAAAATAATTAGGAGCTAAATAGACTAAAATTTTCAGATAACTTACAGCTTGTAATAGTGAAGTACTGTGAAGAGAAAGGTATAGCGATTTGGGGTGTCACATTACAATTCACTGGAAAGCAAAGAACTAAGTATTCATGTATCAATCACACAGCCCACCTTCATTCAACCTTCATAAAATAACCTTCATGTGCAATAACTGGTATATTAGGGTTTTTTTTACGTTATATGCTATTAATTAGATTCACCACAAGGAGGCCCCAAATAGTACTGCAAAACCCTTCAAAATGCTAGAGGAAGAGGAAATACTCACAGCAAATCAAGGCATAAAGCAAGACCATTGCTAATAAACCCCCTGCTGGTGGACCTGTGGGCAGTCTTCTCCCGTGTTTCTTCCCTTTAGCCTTGAGTCTTCTAAAGGAAAGAGAAAATTTCTATGTTGCTCCTTTGTCCTCGTTTTTCCTTAAATCATTTTCCACTTAAATCTGTCTCCTATTACAATTTTGCTCCAATGCCCTCAGTGTGGAGAACCTTCCAGTAGACAGATCAAAGGTCAGTTTTAATACTCCCCTTGCCATTTGAAACTGTTGATCACCCCTTTCCTCAAACACTCTACTTTCTTCTTCTGTCAGGCCACAAATTACAACTGCTTTGGGGCTTAAAAGACAGGCAAATATTAATTTATTTAATAATCAAAATTACTTGCCAGGCACTATCCTAGGCACTGGAAAATCAACAATAAGGGAGTTTAAGGGGCTTATAGTATCATTGCAAAGATAAAGCAATGATCATCAAAGAGAGATCATACAGAATTAAAAGCAGGATGTCAACAGAAAGGACAGTGTAGGTCAGCACAATGAGGATGGAGCTGCCTATTAACTGCATTTTTCATAGGCTCTTAGCAATATGATTAATTACAAAGTTTAATAATGTTCAAAAAAAGTGAAGCACAGCCCAGAATCATCTCCACTCCCCAAACCAACACAGGGCCCAGCAAGCTGTCTTAGTTGGCTTACCCAAGGGCCAGGCTGGCTGTAGGCTGTCTCCAAGATGTTTTACAGAAAGCATGTAAAACATTCCCATGTTCCGTGTCCTCACTTAGCATTTTCTCAGTATCTTGAAATCTGACTCTCACTTCCTATCTGTATTAAGATCATCATAAGACAATAGCAAAGTTCAAATTGCCAAATGAGTACTCACAGTACTGAACCGTGAGACACCCTGTCCCTGAGTTTCAGAACACGGCTCTTTCCCAACCAGTTCTTCCACTGATCTAAATTTTCTTTTCCTTTCTGTTCTTTCTTGAGCTGTCTTGTTATTTTACATGACTGCACAGAACTGCATCCAAGCCTGTTCATTTCACTGCCACATACCCAATCATGTTTTATGAGCTTGTATTGAACTAACCCTTCCTCAGCATCAGACCTAATCATATCTGTAGCATTACTACATTTGACGGAATCACAGA